TCAGATCCTTGCATTTGTCAGTCAAGCGCTTATCTTACTGAGCCATCTCCCCGGACCATTAAATATTTTTAAACATTTATTATCATTACTATTATGATTTATTGATAGAGTCTCGCTATGCAGTTCAGACTCATAGTGATCCTCCTGTTTCCGCCTGCCCAGCGCTGGGATTACAGGCATGTGCTACCACATGCAGCTTTGGTGACCGGGGTGGTGAATGGCATGCTTGGAGTTTCGGGGCCATCACGACATACAGTACTGGGGATCGAGCCCGGGTCCTTTCATTTTCTAGGCAGGCACTTAGACTGCCAAGCTATCTCCCCAAGCTATCTCCCCAGCCCTGTATTATATTTTTAAATTGCATTTTTTTTAGATGGTCTCACTATGTACTTCAGGCTGGCTTTGAATACACAGTGTAGCCCAGGCTAGCCTCAGATTTGTGGTAATCCTCTTGCTTTAGTCCTCCAAGTGATAGAATGACCAGTGTGTGCCTCCACTCCTGGCCTTTTTAATTTTTTTTTTTAATAGGTGAGAAGGGTGCTATTGATTTTTTTTTTTTTTTTTTTTTTTTTGGTGGAACTGGGGATTGAACTCAGGGTGCTATTGATTTTTACACACTGATTTTTTCCTGCTTACTCACCTTCCTGTTCCAAGTCCAGGCATCTGCCCTTAGCTGCTTTGTCTTCGAGCCCTTCCAGGACAGAAGGCAGCCCATAAAGGGGAAACAGGAATCTGACCCTGAGTTCTCTAGCTGATCTGTCCTGGTATTGTTGCCGAAGCTTCCCAGAGGACCACCCAGCAGAAAGAGGCCAGGGAGCTTATCCTCCAACCAGCAGGGGCACAGAAGGGAGGAGAGGGCCTAAAATGCACCACGAAGACTTGTGATAAAAGTGCAGACTCCCAGGACACCTTGTCTATCCAGGCCTTAAGAAACTAGCCCATGGGGGCCAGTGAAATAGCTCAGTGGATTAAAATGCCTGCTTTCGGCAAGCACAGGGACCATGGTTCAATCCCCAGCACCACATGCCATGCCAGTCTCACCCAAGGGCAGGCTTAGCTGGCCAGAGTCCAGGCCTGGTGGCGCACTCCTGTAATCCCAGTGCTGGGGAGGCTGAAAGCAGGAGGATCACCACAAGTCCAAGCTGTGCAGTGAGACCCTGCAACAACCAAATATGTTTAGAAAAAGAAAGAAAGAAGAAAGAAAGAAAGAAAGAAAGAAAGAAAGAAAGAAAGAAAGAAAGAAAGAAAGAAAGAAAGAAAAGAAAAGAAAAGAAAAAGAAACTAGCCCAGACCAGGCCACCACTGACAGGGCTAATATCTGTGCACACAGCACATGAGCACATCATGCACATACACGGCGCAGAGCTTGAGGAGGGGTTTCTTGCTCTGTGGATTCCTAGGATGTCTGAGCTGGAGAAGGCTATGGTGGCCCTCATTGACGTTTTCCATCAGTATTCTGGAAGGGAAGGTGACAAGCACAAGCTGAAGAAATCTGAACTCAAGGAGCTCATCAACAATGAGCTCTCCCACTTCCTGGAGGTGAGTCTTGCTTTTTAAAATCAAATTTGCTAATTTGCCTCCCTACTGACAAAAGCACTGTACACTTCTCTTCTGAGCTGCTCTGAAGTTGACTGGTTCTGTTCTGGGATTTCTGATTTGCTTCTGGAAATTTATTTGAGCAACAATTCTTTCAGTGCGGAGACTGCTTTGAGGGCCCTGTGTTTCCATGTTCCTATCATCTGCTCCTGAAAAATCAAAGGATTTACAAGTGATAATGACAACAGAATAGGATAGAAAAATATTATGTCTTACCATGAGCCAAAGCAAACACATAAGAAAGCTGTTAAAAAATAAGCTTTTAGGAACAGGATATATTTTGGATTTGTCCAGGTGTTTAGCATTTGGAAAGGAAGATGCAGATACACATTCCATACACATTTACACAGCTCTTAGCAACTTAGCACTGAGATGGAGGCCTAGCAGACAGCTTGTGCTTTCAGAGTGCCCAGCTTGAGCCATCAGTGATGAACGACCTCTTGACAGAGTACACTCTGGGAGTTTGTACCCCTCCTTTGAAGTCCTGGACCCTTTCAGGGACTCCATGGAGTGCAGGATGTTGAGAAGGGGTTCCCTATCCAGAGAACTGCATGAGGGCTCCAGATAAGCCCCATCCTTCTCCATAGGTCCCTTTTGGCCCATGCTGGAGGCATTTGCTGATACTTGCATCAAGGACCCACTTCCCCATTGACCTTGGGCCATCCACCCACTGTCCATCATCATCATGCTCTGTGGAAATGACCTGTAGTCCACCTGCAACCCAGTAACTCCTGGGGTCCTTAACATGGGCTGGCTCTAAGCACACCCCGAGGGGGCTATGCAATGGGCTTCCTTCTGGGTCACTAAGGTGATCAATCACACACAGAAGAAATGGACACACAATCAGTCAGCATGGTCCCTATGTGCCAGTTCTGAGGATAACATTATGGCAGAGCCCTCTCATCTGGTTAGGAGACACTACCCTCCTGAACTGTCTCAGACATGCTGTTTGGAGGGCTGGGTGTGATTCTCCTGTCCCCTCCACCTAAAGGCATTCCACCTTTGGAGACAACAGGCCTGCAGCCTTGCTGGGGACATCCCCAAATCTGACTCTGGATTGTTTTTCTCAAGTATTCAAGTTCACAGAACGACAGCTGTCATTCTATGACCAGTCATCCAGTCCCTCTAATTCTGCCTCTGACTTCATAAAAAAGTTCTAGTTTCTTAACCTCTACTGTGATAAAGATGAAGTGAGTGTTTAGTACTTAAAGTAAAAACTCAACAGATAGTAGTTACAAAAAAAGTATTTACTGTTATTAATGATCACTTTTAAAACAAGGAAAAGCTTAGCATGTAAGAACCATGATTTATAGTAATTCCCAGTAAGCATATCAAAGTATCAGAAACATTTGTTGGCCTGGTTTTATCAAGGTAACTTAGTTTAGAAGAAAAGTTATTGTGATAGTTTTCTATCCCTGTAACAAATATCTGAAAAAAATCAAACCAAAGGAGGAAAGGTTTACTTTGTTTTTTTTTTTTTTTTTTTTTTTTTTTTTTTTTTTTTTTGGTGGAACTGGAGATTGAACTCAGGCCCTTGCGCTTGCCAGGGAAGCGCTTATGCCACTGAGCCATCTCCCCGGCCCCGGAAAAGTTTACTTTGACTCAGAGTTTCAGAAGTTTTACTTCATGGCTGGACAGCTTTCTTGCTTTGGGCCTGTGGAGATGCAGAACGTCCTCGAGGGCATGTGGTGGCCACGAAGCAGAAGGGGAGGGCACATTCCCCAAGACTGCCATCCTCCCATGGGGCTACCTTTTAAGGCTCTACCACCTCACATCAGAGTCACTGCAGTGCCCACAGTTGGAACTGGAAGGCATGCACTGCTCCATCATCTTTGGGAGATGGTTCAAGATCCACCCTACCTCCATGGGAATTGCCATCTTTTGCCCTAAACCTTTTATATTATGAGCAGCCTGGTACTTTGTCAAGCTTTCCTGTCCTAGGGTTTTGTTATTCTAAACAATCTGCATTTAAACATTGTTTTTAACCTTTTTAAAATTTATTTATTTGGTACAGGGTCTCACTATGCAGCTCAAATTCATAGTGATCTTCCTGTTTCAGCCTCCCCAAGGCCACCACGCTGGGTTTCAGGGCTGGCACTATAAGCCTGGGGATCCAGGGCCAGCAGGGCATGTGGCAACCAGGATCTAACCCAGGTCTTTGCACTTGCCGGGCAGGCACTTAGCCTGCCCAGCTACCTCCCCAGCCCCTAAACAGTCTGCATTTCTGTACTTCTTCAGCATTCAATGACCACATTCTTTTCCCATTTTTGTAGACCTATTCTGTGTTTAATACTTAACCTACCATGCATTTGGCTTTGCTTTCAAGCATGAGAACCTTCAGGAAAACACTTCCTAACACCTAAAAAACAACACAAATAGTAAAAAGAACACAAGGAGTTAACAATTTTAGGACATGTTGCCAAGTTACTTCAGCAAAACATTATAATCTGCTGGAAGTCTTTAAAATAGGGACTCTGTGGGGCCGGGAAGATGGCTCAGTGGAATAAGCGCTTCCCTGGCAAGTGCAAGGGCCTGAGTTTAATCCCCAGTTTCGAAAAAGAAAAAAATAAAATAAAATAGGGACTCTGCTACACACACACACACACACACACACACACACCCCAGAAGTACCAAAAGTTCATTTTTTTCTTTCCAGTTATTAGCTCAGGCTGACAGAGACTATATTTTTCCCAGAGCTTTTACGTATGTAATTTTGCACATCTTGATGGTTCCAGCTGTTTTTTAAGTAATCAGGGTGCCACTCGACCTAAAGTACGCAGAGGTGGAAAGGCACAGACCTTGTAGAGACTTCCAGGTGGCCAGAAGACCCCTAAATCACAGCAGAAATCTGACATTTTCATTTCCTACATTGGGGTTATTTCTGATGCAAATTACCAGTCATCCCAACTTTCACTCACATTTTCATGCCTCTGTATTCCCATTAAAAAACAAGGTGGGAGGAACTGGTGAGATGGCTCAGTGGTCTAAAGCACCTACTTAGAACAAGCTTAGCAAAGCAGAGGGACCGCGGTTCAATCCCCCAGCACCACATGCCAGCCCACCCCGCCCCCTGGTGGGCTGAGCTGGCCACACACACACACATAAATAAAAATTAAAAAAAAAAAAACAAGGTGGGAAAAAAAACAAAGTGGGCAACTTCTCTTATCTTTCTTAGGAAATCAAAGAGCAGGAGATTGTGGACAAAGTCATGGAAACACTGGATGAAGATGGAGACGGAGAATGTGACTTCCAGGAATTTATGGCTTTCGTTGCTATGGTGACCACTGCCTGCCACGAGTTCTTTGAACATGAGTGAGAGAGAAAGCAGCCCAGCTGCTCCTGTAACACAGACAACAGTCATGCGGGAATCAGAGAAGGAGGGCTGGCAGACCAGTAGGTGCTAAGCTCTCCAGCCATGCGTAGCTAATTAGGAAGCTTGATTTCCTTATGAATGAAAAATTGAAAACTTCTTTCAGAGGGCTGCTTAATGCGTTGTGTCATTATTTCTGCAGTTAGACCTTTGTGTGAGCTGGCTGATGCCAGGACTATTGGCAATAATCACTTAGGGAAGTCAAATTTTATCATAAAGCATGTGTTATACAAACCATCATGACCTTGTAGAATCCTCGCCCAGAAAAAAGGCCTATCCAAAGTAGTCCCGCAGAAAATACAAAGCCTTCTCCATCATCACATTTGTTCATCATTTATCTAATTAAAGCCTAAAGCTAGCCTGATCATACTGTCACTACCATCCAAAACAGCATGATCACATTTAAACCCTTTTTCTTATAAGCTGTGATTTCTGAGTAAATATTTAATGCTAACCAGACTAAAATTAAATGTTAACCATTCATGGAAAAATGTCTCACAAACCAGTAAGTTTAAACCAATAAGTAATGACATTTACCAGAATTTAGAATCAAAATTCTACATTCAGTAGAATTCTGGAACACTGCATTCTGTATTCCGCAGAATTCTAGAACTCCACTGGCCCTGCAGGACCTGTATGTAGGAGAAGGATGGCTAGACTCAGGGCTAGGGTTTAGAGTCCACCCTCCAGTTAGTTGTACAGCAAGTAATGTCAACTGCCTGGCACTTTCTGTCGTTTATCAAATGAGTGATTCCAAGGTCAAGGCTGCTGGGGCTTGTTGCTCTGGACCACAGGATGAGTCTCTCAATTGACATACTTGTGCTAAGAGAACATCTACTTACCACTTGGTCAAGCCAAGATGTGGGAGGCTGAACCTGATGCTTTTGTGTCTGCACATTCAAATAAGTTCAAATAATTAAAATTACTAATAAAAATCAAGCTATAACTATTAAAAATCACTCCAGAAGAAATCAAAATAATCTTATTCACTTTTTAAATTTTTTAACCAACTGATTTTTTTTCTTGTACTTGCATTATATAAAAACATTACTGTAACAGGGCCAGGGAGATAGCTCAGCCACTTGAGTGCTTCCTTGGCAAGCACAAGGTTCTGAGTTCAATCCCTGGTACCAAAAAAAATTACTCTAGTAATTCTTTAAATATGAACAAAGGGTTGGGGAGATAGCTCAGGGGCATAAGCACCTGCCTGGCAAGCATAAGCT